AGCAAAGCTCTGTTAGGTCCCGCAGCAGGGTGGCCCGTGGCCGGCTCTCGTGGTGCGAGGATGCATCTTTGCTTGCAGACGAGGTGGTGACCCAGATGGGCCTAGCTGGAGCAGTGGCAGGTGGAGCAGCCTTGTGCTTGCCTTGAGCCCTCAGCAGTCAGCTCTAGCTGCCCTCCTAGTGGAAGGCGCAGGGTGCAGGGCAGGCCCTGCCCTGCTCTGCCCCGCCCCACCCTTCCCTGCACTGCCCTCTTCTGCCCTCCCCTGCCGAGCTACCTGGGGCCTCAGCCTAATCTGGGCCAGTGACAGGCCTGGCAGGCCCAGGCACTGGACACCCATGGAGGGCATTTCCACCTCAACTGCTCAGGTGTCCCCAAGTCCTGTTCTGTCACTCTCTCCTCGCAGGGTGTCCAGTAGCTGGCCTGACTCCTTCAAAGGCCAGTACGTAGGCACAGGGTCCGGCAGGGCAGTGAGCCGAGGGCCTGGGGGAAGCTGGGTGAGCAGCTGGTGGGTGGCACAGGGCTACGTGGTGGGCACCTGGTCGGCTCAGATGCCCGTTGTGACTTTCCGGTCAGTCCTCCCGGCTACTCTTGCCTGCGTTTTGGTGGCCCCTGGTCCCCTCCCCGGTCTGGGCCTGGCTCTGTCCCATTGACAGCCATCTGGGGCCTCCTGCCTACCGAGCGGGCTCTGCTGCCCTCTGGGCCCTCGGTGGGCTTCGGAGCCCAGTGTGTGTCCCTCCCCCATCCTGCGAGGGGCTGGAGACAGCTGGCAGGCTGAAGCCCAGGCCTCCCAGCCATAGGCCGGCACCCCGGGTCTGGTCACATTCCTGAGGGACCTGCTGAGCCTCCCTGGCCCTGGGGGTGGGGTGGGGGAAGGGCAGGCAGGAATGGGCTTTCGGCTGCTGCGGGACCCCTCCCCCACCCTGGCTCTGTTCCAGGGGAGCCCAGGCTGGCCCGGGCGAGGTACCCGCTCGCTCAGGATCTCCTTCCCACAGGACCCAAAGCTCGGGGAGAGCCTGCCTCATCTGGCAGCAGCTGCCCGGCGGCCGTCTTGGCGGGCTGGGCTTGCAGCTGGGGTGACTCCAGGCAGCCCAGGCTCCTGTGAGGGGCGGCCATGCGGTCGGGCTGGGCCCTCTGGGCAGGGAGGGGCTCCAGCAGACCAAGGAAGGAGGCAGGGGAGTGCGAAGCCGTTGAGACTGGTTCTTATAAATAGCCCTTGCACAAGTGGCTCCAGTGTTGACCTTTTGTTATGTAAATGTGGCCAGCCTGGGAAGGGCCTTGCCCAGGCCTCCTGCCACCATGCTGCGCCCTCCTGCCCGCCAAGAATTGTATGCCTGCCACCAGCGTCCCCAGGCCTCGGTGGCCCCTGGGAACCCTAAATCTCTGTGTGTGTGCTGGCCTGGTAGGGGGGTATAGAGCCTACCAGCTCCCTAGCCCTCGGCCTTGCCTGTCACAGCCTGACTGGGGACACCATGCAGGACTGCTCTTGGGCGTCCCAGCCAGAGACCCCCCTCCCCAGACCTTTCTGAGAGCCAGGGCTCCTAGGCCACCAGGTACCTCCCCCTGCTGTCCCTTCCCCATTGCCGGCTGACTGGGTGACCTTGTGCCTGTGCTGTCTTCTCCCCAGGTGACCAGGCATTGATGCACCCCCAGGAAGGCCACGCGCTCAAGGAGGCCACCCCCGCCGGCTGCTGCTCACATGGTTTCTGGGCCCCTGGCACTCCGGTAGGCTGAAGGGGGTCGTGGGGAGGGAGGACAGCCACCTGCTCCTCCTCCCTGGAGCTTTCTGGGAGGCTCGCCCGCGCCTGTCCTGGCCCGCGGTCCTTTGTGTGCACGTGGTGCTGGTGGCATTGAGGGAGTTGGGGCCTAGTGCCCTTGGCCTGTCCCCTCACCAGGCTCAGGGTACCCTGCGTCCCGGGAGTTGACAGGGCTGGCACTGGCACGTCCCTGGCGCCCAGCATGGAAGCCATACCTTGGGCTCTTTGTCCCTGCCTGGATGGCTGGGGGGCAGGGAGTGGGGGTGCTGGCTCCCCAAGTCTCCAACCTCCTAGCCCCTGCAGAACTCCCCCAGGCTGGCTGAGCGAGTGTGAGTGAGTGAGCGAGTGCGGCTCCTGGACAGGAGCAGGTGCTGCCCCTGCTGTGAGGCTGAGTGAGTGCCTCTGGGGCGCGTTCACAGTGAGCTCTGAAACCTTTGGGGTGAGTGCCGTCGTTAGGGTTTCCCTGTCTTTGCAGACAAGACCATGTGTGGGGCTGGGGGTGTATGTATGTGTCGTTGGAGGGGAGGGCAGGGGGTGGGTGCCCTGGGAGGCCCAGGGGTTCCTGGGTGGTGGCCAGGCCCAGAGCACCGCAGCTACTTAGAGGTTGGACCCTGCACTGCCTGGCACAGAGCTGCCTGCGGGGGCTGGGCGCCACGGCCTGGTGTCGTGGGCCTGGGCCTGGCTGCGCAGTCACCAGGCAGCCACGAGCCGTGGGGGAGGTTCGCGTCTCCTCTGGCCTCTGCCCCCATGGGAGCCTGCGGGGGCTGGGCTGAGTGCAGGTGGCCATGTGGGCACTGGCTGCCCTCTCCAGCCCTGGACTGTGCCCTCCTCTGCCGAGCTCTTCTGGGGCCCCATCTGGGAATGCTGTGACCCCGGAGTTGGGGCTGAAGGTGGCTTTGGAGCACTGTCCAGGGCACTGCTGGCTGAGTCCTTGGAGGGGCATTTCTCAGACCCTGGGTCCTGCCGGCGCCTTCTGTGGCCCCATCGGCTTGCCCTTGCTCTCCCCAGTGGGGGGTGGGGATTGCCCTGGGCCTTGCCAGAGAGGACTGCTCCATGGGAGTCACCTGGCTCTAGCGGGCTCACTGGGTCCTGTGGGGACCGGCGGTGTCTGTGTTTATTACTTAATGACCTCAGTTAGTGTCTGTACCAGCCTGTCTGGCACAGGCCAGCTGGCTGCCCTTCCCAGGCCCTTCCTAGAAAGGATGCGAGGCCCCGGTGGTGCCAGAGCTTGGCCAGGCCACCTTTCTTGCTCAGTGCCAGCCCAGGGGCGAGGCACGGATGAGGAGCAGTAGCTGCGGTGGGAGGCCACGGGCAGCAGGCAGGCTGTGTGTCTGGGAGGCAGGAAGTCTTAAAGCTTGGGCAGCCTTGGCTGGTGGAGAGACCCGCCAGTGTGGGGCAGAGGTTGCAGACCAGAGGCCGGTAGGTGTGTTTGATTTGGCCCACACAGTGTTTTTAAAAAGAACCGTCATTTAGCATGGGGGAGCAACTTCACGGGAATCTGCATGTCTGGTGTGTCTCGAAATCGGCAAGATCAGCCCTGTGTTCCTGCACACCCAGGCAGGAGCAGTCAGCACCCCCAGGAGCATCTGCTCCCAGGTTTTATAGCTACCTGCTCGTTAGTTTGGGGTCCCCTGCGTGTGCTCATGCAGAGACAGTAGCTGGGCTGTAAGTCAGATTTAAGTCCCTGTTTCTGTCCGTGGTCCCCCCATCACCCTCCTGTTTTCCCAACAATGCAGAAGGGGGCGCGGACATGTCCCTTCTGTGATCGCTTGAGTCCTCAGTGAGGCGGCTGGCGGTGGAGTGCCCTCCCAGCTCATGGAGGGGGCGTGGCCATGGGCCGGGGCCACACGGTACAGAGGCAGAGGCCCGGAGTGCCCTGCAAGCCCCTGCTCCTGGGCCCTGGCAGTGTCCCGTCAGCTAACGTGTGTGCCCGTCTTGCCCACAGGTGGTGCGCGTGGGCAGGGCGTGGGGACATGGGGCCCGACATGGAGCTGCCCAGCCACTCGAAGCAGCTCCTGCTGCAGCTGAACCAGCAGAGGACCAAGGGCTTCCTGTGTGACGTCATCATCATGGTGGAGAACTCCATCTTCCGGGCCCACAAGAACGTCCTGGCCGCCAGCAGCATCTACTTCAAGTCCCTGGTCCTGCACGACAACCTCATCAGCCTGGACACGGACATGGTCAGCTCCACGGTGTTCCAGCAGATCCTAGACTTCATCTACACGGGCAAGCTGCTGCCCAGCGACC